CACGCGTTCCCAAGGGGTCCCATACGTTCGGGCGTTCGGGTTCGGGCGTTCGGCCCGTCCCGAACGCCGGTTACCCTGTATACATATATATTTTTTAACTTTATTTTTTATTTTAATTTTGGCAAAGAATTTCGATGTGACCCTGAGGCAAAATTTGTTTAGTTTATTTTTCTGCATAACATTGTTTTTTTTTCGGATTTTTCTGGTCTTTTTTTTTTCTTTTTTCCTAGGACCTTCACTGGTCCTTGCACGGCCGGGCCGTCCGGGCAAATAGGGTGACCCGGGCGGCCCAGCTGGTAGCCTAGAATTAATCCCTTTTCTCGTATATTTTAAATTCATAAAATTCCTTTTCAATTTTTTTCTTGAAATTCGAAAATACATCATGATCAATTAAATTCATTTTCGAAATTCTCTTTCGAAATTCTTTTTTTTATAATTTGGAAGTACTTTTCTTTTGAACATGTCATTCTGAACTCCTCAATTAATTTCGACTAAACTCAATTAATTCACAAATGATTCGAAATGAATTAATTTCTTTACTCGGAATTAATCATCCTTTTTCGAAATTTCAATATCTTTCTTCATTGTAAAATTTTACCCCGAACCTACATAGCACCATGTTCGCGTTCGGAGGCGAACGCAAACATGTTCGCCCGAACGCGAACAAGCGCCCAAAACCCTTCGAACACGAACATAAAAAAAAAAGGAGATCTCAGAAAAATATGAAAAAAATATATGTTATGTAAAATAATAATACAAGCAACTTTTGCCTGGAGTCATATTCAAATTTGTAGCTAATCATGAGTTAAAAATAAAAAACCGAAATTATTTTTTTACGAAAAAAAATTATGTTCACCCGAACATGTTCGCGCGAACGAGCAAACACATTCGTGCGAACGTGAAGGGGCGCGAACACGTTCATCGTGCTAGGCAGCCCCGAAAATAAATCCGAATAAATTTAGTCATAATTTATTTTTTTTCTCGGAATTAATTATTTTTTTTCTTCATGCGAGGCTATGCCCGCTTAGCCCTACGGGCCTTATTTGCAACAAGGTCGGCCGCCCTAAGTGAAGGCAGGCACGACAGGCCCTCAGGGCCTCACTTTCAGGGTACCCCCGCAAATGGGGAAATTCAGGCAGTTGCACAGCATCAGTTGGTTGAATGAACTCCGGCCCTGGGCCGCCCGTGTGAATGAATGTAAAGCAGGCCCTGGGCTGGGTACGGGTACCGGGCCAAGCACAGACCCAAAAGCAGTTGGGCACAAGTAACTACTTCAGGCCCACTGCCTGTATTCCTCGTGACTGGGCCTCAGGCTACCGGGGCCTACTGGAAGCTTCTTGGACTGGACGCAAGCAAGCCACGGGGATATAGGCAAGGGCCAGCCTCCTCATTCGATATAGAGGTGCTGGCTGCATGCGGCGACAGCACTGCTGCGCTATTTGCTGGCTGGCGCCCTCGCACTCACGGGCGAGTGTGGAAGAAGCAGGCAGCCATAGCCACGCTGCCTGCTGTAGCTGGGTTGGGCGCAGGTTGGTCCTTGGGTGCTTGAGGCATCTGTGCGGTGAGGATCGGGGTTGAGAGCGAAGCGGGAGTCATACCTGGTGCTTGAGGCGAGYGGCATTGGCCGCATATGCTCGTACTTCGGTGAAGCTGTTGACGTCAACTTCGGCATTGTAGTAGTAGGCTAGATAGGATCTGCCATCTTGTAGTCTGGGCGCCGAGCGCCAATAGGATACCAACTCTTGTTCTTCGTTGATGATGATGAGAGACAACTTCAGCATTGTCAATTATGAACTATTGCTGTGTTCTTATTTGGTATAACTCGTGATGCCATTCTGCTTATGGTTCGAGGTCATGGCTATTTGGTCACTCTGGTATGATGCTGTTGAGTTCGGGAATTCGCTATTGCTCATCTTCCTTGCAATTTGGTATCRGAGCTGTGGTTCGATTGCGCTCATCTGGCGCTTGTCTTCTGCCTTATACGGTACATACATGCGGTCTGCTGGGAGAGTTTGGCCGAAAGTGGTGTGTAGTGAGGAGGGTGAAGACGAGTGGAAGGCTAAGGTGTGAATATTCGGTGTTCGCAGTGTGATGAGAACTATCTGTTTGGTGATTGAAGCTGAGGTGGAACGGCGAAATGCTGGTTGTGCCGATGCTGTGACTGGTCATCGCAATCATCTTCAGGTCATCTGGTGAGATTATCTCTGTGGTTGGGGGCAGCATGAACGAGGTACGTTGCTCTTAACCTTATCTACCCTCTTCATCACTTCTTACCGTGAGGTTGTGAGTTCAGTCTTGAGAGTCCTCTCATCGTGAGGTGTCGTGTGCGCTCAACCTTGAGAGTCGTGATTGTTCACGTGGAGGATCTGGGGGAAGACGGGCGGAGCTTCTTGAAGGGCCCTGGACGAAGCACTGGGTCACGGTCACCATGCCAACCCACTGGGTGTAGTACACGCATGCTTCGCTGCAAGTC